ATTTGAAAACACACCTCCCGACAGGAGGTGAATCAACCAATCAACTTGCTTCATGTGCAAGTTCACACAAAGGCATTGTCAAGACATGAGAGAAGTGCACGTCGACCTACCTTTAACACCCTCGTCTGCATAGGTCCCCAGAGTTGTTAACGAAGAGGTTAAGACGTACAATTCCAGCATTTATGTCAGAATTTGAACTTCGAGGTCGAGTTCTGTACGTTCCCAAATCTCTCTTTTAGTATGGTGACAAATAAACATTGTGCCCAAGATAGTTAAAAGGAAACAAATACTACTTGAAAATGATTATATGCTTTTAAAATAATTCATTTACAGCTTGGTAGGTTTTTGTATAGATGAACATACTGAAACTGTAATGTTACCTCGTTAAATTCTATTAATTATAAGAATTCTTGTCCCAACACTTTCAACAAACAGCAGTCAGCTTCTCTATGTCATATTGCTAGTGGTAGTTTCCCACTTCTTATTATGCATACCAACATACCAGTACAGTAACTTGCCATGTTGACCCACCAAACACCACAGCAGGTTGCCTGATGCTGGGGTCTCGGCATGATGATTACTGGGTTTCAAAACTGACTCATCAGATGCAGAATGTCACTTGTTTGGTGCGAGAGGAGCTCTAGGAATATTGCAAATAGGCCTATCTCTATACAAAGCTCTAGTTTTGCAACCAAACTCATTGATAGAAGATGGACCCTGTTTTTTTCAGTATTTGTGGGAATAATCACGAGAATGTAGCATTAATTCGACTGCAGGTCGATACAGCAAACCGTTCTGAGTATCTGGTTATCTTGGACGCTCTGGTAAGGTCCTCGCTTGGAAACACGGTGGAGAGAAATCTAGGGGGAGGTGATTACTTAAAACTGATTACCTGATCTACAAAGTGTGGTACTTGGCCTTCTGTGCAAACACCATGTTCAAGCCAGAGGTAGTTCATAGGTGTACCTGGTGCCAGAACATGGTAGGCCAGGGGTGACCAACTTTACATTATCATATCTGTGGACATATGTGAACTGACCACCACTTGGTGAATCAGGTTGTTTGGGAGGTCTGCAGACAAGTGCAGTAAATCCTGGCCCCTTTCCAGGTGTGCATGCACCGTTAGGAACATGACGGTAGAATCAGCCATGTTTAAAACCTGTGTTGCGAAGGCTTGTTTGTTTGGCTTGAGCTGTGGCCAGAAGGGTCATGGAGGCTTGTTGTGGCAGTAACCCAGGAATCCGCTGGTGGACACAAGTGGTGAAGTAGTGCTGAAGGAGGGCGCCCTTCAGTCCTGACTCAGCAGGCAGGTGTACTGAGGAAAGGACTCGAGAACCTTTGCACTCAGGACTTGAAGGAGGACGGAGTTTGGATAAGTCGTGGAGAGGTGAAAGAGCCCAGTGTGTGAGACTACCTGCACTCATCGAACAATAATGATCTTGACAGTGTTGATGAAGGGTCAACGTCGTCCACATCCCCTGGCAGACGTCCTGTCTGGATGGAGAACTTTCTGAAAATGATTGATAAAGGCTCGGCGTGAAGAGAAAACGTCTGACATGTAAACAGTTTTGAAATGTATCTGTGCTTACGTGGGACTGACCTGAAAGTGTCTGCTACAACAGAACATGACAAGTACTGTAACACGTACGTGGTTCATTCTTTCATTCTCATCAAGACGTCGACAATGATCCTCGACCTGCCAGACCCTCTCCTCTCCACTCGCTCTGGAGGATTATGGGGATTCTGACAGGCCTGCCAATCACTAGGCCTGACTCTCCCTCCCTCTCTCTCTCTCTGGATGAACATTACACTCACACAACCCCTCTTTTACCTGCACAGACAAACCCGCACACACACACAACAGATGCCCCTGCAGCCATGTGACCCCACTTTAACCCCTGGTATCTGCAGGTTTTCTCGTCCAGCAGTCTGTCTGAATTACAGCCGAGCGACTCTGACTGATCTCGGTCTGTCACTCGCTGTTAGTGGCCTCGGAAACAGCTGCTGGGATTGTTGTTTTCCACCAGTTGTTTGACTATCAGAGAGGTTACACTACATTGTGTTTGATTTTTCTAGGAATGCAGAAAAAAAAGCTGTAATGCCTCACATTGGAGAAGTTGCAACCACTTGAGTAATTAATTGATTGTCAAAAAGTTTGTCGATGAATTTTCTGTCAGCCAACTAAATGATTATTATCTCAACTCTATATATATTAGGTGTCTGCGTGGGTGGATGCATTTACACGTGGATGTATGTGCCAGCTGCATGGACTGAAATATATGGGCGCTGCCAAATGACAAACTTTACTTCAAGCGTACATCAAGCATTGTGCGAATGCGTAAAGTAGAATTTGAGCTCTGCTTAGAGAACAGTTAGAATTTGTTTATTTGCACCTATGTACCAAAAGTGTTATCTAAAAATTACTTAAAAAAACATGAATTTGTGCGAATCAGGCATCCCTATCACAGGAAGTCAGCGTCGAGAGAGGGAGCTGTCTCTAAACTCCCTGGCTTGTCCACATTTCCACAGCTGCCTCTTTGCTTGTCAAAGATGATGCTGTTTGTGACAGAGGTGACTGTTGTTTTTTTTCCTCCATTAGCATGTGATAGTTTGTTTTGTCTTTGATAAGCAAATAGTCGCAATCCCAAATTTATAACCTGCCTTTTGCCTTTAAGTGAAGCCAAAAGGTCTCTTGGTTTCTTGAGGCTCTATATATCCTTGTTGTACCACAGGGGACTTGACGTGCCATGCTCAGCAGCGCTGGAGCAGAACAACCCCCACCCCCCCACCCCCCACCCCCCTCGGGGCCAACGCTTGCCGGCTCAGAGAAAACGGGTGTGAAAGATGTCAGAGTAATTACAATAAGCATTACAGTTGTAATCTTCCATGACAACAGGGAGTGTGAACGAACAGGGCTTTACCCACTTCTCTTGCCTCTGGCCTCTCCTCGCCAAACAAACCGCTGCATCCTCAGCAGTTAATGTTTCCTGCGGTGTAACAGCTCCAGCAGCTTCTGGAGAAATTAGATTTTTTTTTTTTCTTCTTCTTCTTCTTCTTCTTGTTTTCACCCAGGAAGCAGCAGGTGATGCTGAACGTTTGTTCCCCGTCTTGTTGGAGTGTAAACCAGTGTAACAAAAACACACACGAAAACCTGTACAGAGGCTGGAAGGGATATGTTTTTAATAAATCATTTCCTCATCTTATGGATGCTGTACTACAGCATCTGTACTATTTTTCCCACAATTTTGCAGTTTTCAACCTCCCTCAAATTGCATTTAAAAGTTTTTTTGCAGGGGTTTACAGAGTTTGGCTGGTACTCACCTGCTCTTCTGATTTTTGTAATCTGACATTTTTTATTACATACAGCTACCTCCTAAAATCTCTTCACCAAGCCAAACAACATAAAGATAATTGACATTGAATTCAAGGTCAATTAACGCCACATTTCCAGTTGGCTTTTAAGCCCACATCCAAAAGTATTAGAGCTCATGGACAAGTTGATTCGTCAGTTGATTAAAGCATTAATAAGAACACAGTGTGTATCTAAACACCAGGCATCGTCAGGTTAGAGCTCGTCAGATGTGAGGATTTGCTGCGTTTCTCTATTTTCATATGAATATCTTTCAGTTCTTGACTGTTCGTTGGCGTCTATTTAAAGACGTCACGTTTCACTTTAGAAAACTGTGACAGGCTTTTTATCTGTTTTCTTACATTTCACAGAATAAAAGATTCATCAATAATGAAATTAGTCATTCATTGTTCATTGAAGCCCTATGAATAGATTTGCGTATACTCGTTTTTATACAGAATCAGTTTTCCTAAGAGGAACACCAGCATATGTTGTTTCCTGAGATGCAGCTGCTGCTTCACATCTCTGGCATCATTCTCTTTCAGTTTGATCACTGGGAAACTGGGAGGTAACACAACGTTGTATTGTTAAAACTTCATGTATGTCCACATATCTGAGTTCAGGATCAAAATCAAACTGTATTAAATCTAAAAGGTCCGTAGTGAGGGTCGGAGGTTTTTCTCCATTGTTGCCAACTGTTGAGTTTCTCTGTGTAATCCTGTAAGGTCTTGACATCAGTCTGTCAAGTGCTCTGAGATAATGTATGTTGTGATTTGATGCTATATGAATAAAATGGAAATTGAATTGAATTCAAGGCAACAATGTAGTAAACTGTGAGAACACGTAAGAAAAGCTTCATGAAAATTAAAATTTATTGCAGGTCAGTGGAGTCACAGCGAAACCCTGAAGTCATGATTTGTTCTCTTTAGAATTTCTCTTCAGGAGATCAATACTGTTAGCAAAACTCAATTAACTACTCATACAGACTTTATAAAGTCTCACTGAGCATTTGTTTGACCTCGAAATATTTGTGACAGAACAAATAAAAGTCAAAACTTCAACAGAATCAAAATACTTGGATGTTTTTTTCTGGGTTGTTTCGCAAACAAACTTTCGGACTGAAGGTTTTCTTTTCATAAAGAAACTGCTGATCTGTTTTGAGTTTCCATGGATGGATGGATGGATAGATGGATGGATGGATGGATGGATGGATGGATAGATAACATCTCTGAGCACTTATTCCTCGAAAATCAATTCGATCGGTCCATAAAAGTATCAAAGTTCGATACCCAGCCCTAGTGTTGAGGTGGACGCCAGGACTTCAGCTTTCTGTGCATTGTTGTATGTTCTTCCTGTTGACAGTGTTATTTGAGAATCTGCCCCATCTCACCGTAATGAAAAACCTGAAGCTTTGCTTTTGTTCTGAATGTGTGCAGAGGTCGTCCTGCACAGCCAGCTGGCTTCTACTCTAGTGTGATATTATCTTATGAGCAGCATGGCCGTAGTAACATGCGCACCATGAACACCAGCCATGTTCGCATCTTTAACACCAGGCCAAACAATGATTGCCATCGTTCTCTGTATTCGACCACCACCCTCCAGCTGTCCTCATGCCTGTGTTTGCCCCCCCCCACCCCCCCACCCTCCGCAGAAACCAGGGATGGATCTGGCCGACACCTACATCACCTTCGTACGGCAGAACCAGGACATCCTCCGAGACCGCGTCAACGACGAGCTCTACATCGAGGAGGTGTTTGACGTGAGTGTGCTCATTCTTCTTTATTGCAGCACTTATTTTGGTAGAGAATGTGATTTCCCCTCCCATCAGCTGCCCGTTAGCTCTGCTCCAGTTGATCAGAGCTCATAAAGACATAGCCGTTTGACAAACTGATTCTCCAGGTGTGCTCACAGATGAGTTGCGTCCATGGCCTCATCAGACAAAACTAGGCGGAGAAAGAACTTCTAACTCAGATAAAATGCATCTTCAAAGATGTTTGCTCCTATAAAAGGACGAGTACCTCTCCCTTCTTACTTCTTTGATGATATGTTGCAAGCCTCTTGTAGGATTTCAGGTTTCTGCACACAGCTGTCAGACGTTTCGGATGGCCAGAAACTTTTTACCTGCCTCTTTCCGTTTCATTTTTCAGCGTTCCCCCCGAACACGTCCTCACATCCTCCTCTACCTCTGTTATTTCCTCCTTCTACTGTGGTTCCCCCACGGTCGCCGTCGTCCCCGTCTGATCTAGATTTCTTTCTTATCAAAGCTTTGTCTTCCCTGTAGATCCATAAAGGGAAGGCAAGGTGAAGCTGTGATAAGCAGTGTGGTCCCATATTCATAGTTTGGGTTAAGTTCTCGATCTCTACTGGGTTCAAGTCCCAGTGGCAGTAGCTCCAGTTTGTCATGTGTTTCCCATTAGTACATGTTCACAGGTGGGAAGCTGGTGAGGGATCATGGCCTTCTAGTCAGTGAGGGAATGTGTTACATCCTCCAGGTGAAGCTCATCAGTGGCAGGTGAAAACAAACAGCTGGAGACACAACGACTCTGTGATCTCAGTGACTCTGACCGCGGCTTGTTTGAGTGTTTCCGAAACAACGGTCTCTAGAGTTTTTACTCTATGGAGGAAACACCTTGTTCATGAGAGAGGACAGACTGACTATAGTCACTCAAATAACCACTCTTTAAAGCTGCGGTGAGCAGAAAAGCTTCAGAGTGAACAACACGTCCAGCCTTGAGGTGGATGGACTATAACAGCAGAGGACCAGGTTCAAGTTCACTTCCTGAGGCTTGAGGTCACCAACACAGGACACCTGAAGACATGGTCTGGATTTCTGCTGAGGCAGCATATGGTCGGGTCAGAGTCTAAACCCATGTACCCAACCTGCCTGGTGTAATACCAAGCAATCCTGGTTTTATTGCCACAGCCTAGCTTAGTATTGTTGATGACCATGTGCTTCTCTTAATGGCCACAGTTTACCATCTTCTAATGGCGACTTAAGCTTGAAAAGATTTTTGTGATATTTCAACTTTAGATAGAATTTCCAGTGTTGATCCATAAGAAGATATATTTGTGGTTTTAAGAACCAAAAACCATCTCAGTGTAGTTTTACATCTCCTCTCTCAGGCTTCTCTCTGGAGCTCTAGTTACAACAGGTCTGTGAGCCAATCAGAAGAGAGGAGGCTCTGAGTCTCTCTTCTGATTGGCTGACTGTTTTCTGAGTGATACAATAAAAATTTAGAATATTTCAGGTAAAAACACTCAGAGAAACCAAATCCTGCAAGGTTTGGATGGTGGGTCCAGGTGGGCGGGGCTTGGTGACTGCTTTGTTGTGACATCACAAAGTTCCAGAAGTCCTGACGGCTGGTTTTAAGGCTCAGTTTCTGAATACAGGCTGTGTGCATTTCTCTGTGGACTGAGGCTTTGATACTTTCACAGTATTAATATAGAAGCTAGACCTGATCTATAATCACACTACACATAGACAGAGACCTGCAGACTGGATGAGACCTTTAATGTGTCAAACTGGCAAATATGACATTACAGTTTTACTGTATCTGATCTTTTCATAAGATATACAGTAAATGTTTGTATGGAAGTGCAGTCAGCTAATAAAAATCTTTACAAATTGAGCTCGCAGTCAGATGTTACAGATGTTAGATACTGTTAGTGTGAAGTTCGATTCTCCAGTTTCAGAGCAGCAGCAGGTCGCGTCGAGGCTGAAAACACCGACTGCTTCTGTTGACCTGTTTATCACTTAGGAAACACCGAGAGCTGTCGGCTCGCTCTGCAGGAGCTGAAACACAACGTTTACATCCATCCATCCATCCCCGTCCCACGCTGTCCGTTTTCTCCACCGACCACCCCCCTCCAGGATTCAGATCTAAAAGAATATTTTAGTGCCAAGTTGTCAAACACGCCTCAGCTCACCGGCGTGAGTCAATGCAGCGGACATGGCAGCTCAGACCTTCGTACACATTAGCAGCACGAAGCAGAGCGATGGATTCTGCCGCCCGTCGCCTCCTCTGAGGGTTTGGGGTGCTGTGGCTGCGGCTCGAGCTGCACTGTTCTGATTCATGTGTGTGTGTGTGTGTGTGTGTGTGTGTGTGTGGGGAGGGGAGAGGAGGGGGGGTTGAGGAGAATGAGTCTAATGGAGCTCAGAAGCACCCAGTCATGCGCCGAGGGGGAGGTGACGATGGGGCCTCAAAGTGTCTCCGCTCAGCCCTTCAACTTACCACACACACACACACACACACACACACACACACACACACACAAACAAGCAGTTTGTGTGTAACAAAGAAAAAGTAAACCCTGTGTTCATGCAGCAGCGTCAGGCCTCCTGCCAGCAGCATTATGGGTATGCAATTGTCTTGTTTACGAGCGTCTGTTTAAGTCAAAGTCAAATTTATTTACGGCGTCTTTTCTTTAAACTGAAGGTTCGTTGACACTGATGGATTTAAAGAGGAAGAAAGAGGCTGTTACAGCGAAGTGATACACAAAGACACACAAACACGACGCGCAGCTGTGAACATGCTCATGATTTTCTGCTCACACGTGCCTGTCTGTCTTATTTGTGCACAAGTGCTCACCAGGGAACGTCTTTGTGTGGAAGAGAAGTGTAATACATGCCCACACACACACACACACACACACATACACACACACCTCCATCCTCTTCACATTAGGAGCTAAATCACCTTGATGAAGCATCTTAACGAGGATGAAACAAGAAACAAGAACTCATTTAATCCCAGGTTCGGCCTTCAAGATGAAATGCTTGAGATTAGGACATTGTTCAGTGTCAGCATCTCGAAACAAGACAGAAATAAAACTTGTCGATGATTTCTGCATCAGAATCAAGAAAATGTTGTGAAGGAAACATAAACGAGGAGCTCAACGACTAAAGCTGAGGACTTAAGAACAACATTAATTCTTTTATTCGTTTTAGCTATAATTGTATTTTTTGCATGTGTCATTACATAACTACCTCTTTGTTTTATTTACATTCAGGACATTTCTAGAAATGAAAATCAGCATCTTGAAACGTGACATTATAAAACAGATGCTGAAGAATCAAGAAAATACAAATAATCTCATTTTACTGGCAATATTTATGATAATAAGATTATTAGACTCAATCCTACCATTTAAATAAGACTTTAAGAATTAATAGTTCAATTACTTATTTATGATAAATATTATTTTATAATTTTAACAAAATTACGAACTTTCAAAATCAAGAGTTTTTGTCAAATGTTTAAATGACATCATTACTGTGACACCATCAGGGAATACCCCCACCCGTCCAGTCCATTCATCATATAGATATTCTTTCTTATAGGACTAATGCAGACCCACAATGCTGTGCAGACCACCCGCCACCTCTCCACCCTCCTCCCCCCGACATATTCCCTCCATCTGTTTTCACTCTTGTCCTCTAATTGGCTCAATTAAGGAGCGCCTTCGTACCCAATTTCCACGACAGTTAACGCAGCTCGCGAGGGAACTGTCAGGCAGCTGATTAGTCGCTTCGAGGAAAGTCCGCCTCCCAGAGACTAAAATAAATGTTTCGCTCAGTGTGTGGAGAGAAAGAGAGGGGAGGGGTAGAAAGAAGGAAATCGGGAGAAATCACAGGAGCAGCAAATATCATCCAGTAATTTCAACATCCTCGAGCATCTGTTAACTCGGAGGGTGAGGCGAGCTGATTAACAGGCGACTCAAATCCAAGCATGAAAATATTTAGTGCGGAGAATGAAAGGAGGAGAAAATGATGAAGGAAGGAGGAAGGGCGAGAAACACGGGACAATATCACAGCTGGTTTGACCAAAACTGTCCTCACACCTCAACTTTCTCAAACCCAGTAGAATAAAACTGAACATCAAATTTAATCATACACTAAGACTACACTTGATTTAAATGTGTTGATGTATATTTCTTATGTTTCTTTCTTGCATTATTATTGTCTTATAATATCAGCAGCCCAGTCTCTTAGAAGTTGCATTGGTTTTCCCAGTTAAATTGCAGTGGTAACAAACGGATGGAGCTGGATTATGTTCGGAGGGAACCAGCACCAGAGTCAGCAGGTGGTGGATGAGGTGGATGATGGTCCCTCAGCCGAACCAAGTCTAAACTTAACTGTAACATTTTACTGATTCATTCAGTATCAACGTACTTGTGACTTGCCAAATACATAAATTTAACATTTCTTCATTACGTTAATAGAAAATGCAATCTGGTCCCAATGACATTTCCTGCAAACAGGGTTGATGTTAGATTAAAGAAATTCTACACAAGGTGACAAAAGGAAAAACAAATAGACACAAATCTGCTTCAAGTGGCGCGAGCTGAATTGAAAATGTTTTAGATTTCGGGAAAAGATTAGCGCTCATCTAAAAGACTCATGTCCGCTCTTCATTAATGTGCAGAGACGAGAAGAAAAAGGAGAGATCGGTCACTCTTAAGCTAAAACACAAACAGGCGAAGCCACTCTCTCCGTCGGTGCGTATGTCGCGAGCTAGCTTTAGCTGCAGGCGACAAATCAATGAGAACCAAAGAAACAGTCCAGCGCTTGAAGTTGTATGAATATAAGTGAAACAGCTCAGTCAATGGCGACGCACGCCCGTGGTGTCAGGACTCACCGCTGTCCTGTTTCCCAAAAGGCAACAGTTTTGTCGGTTGTGAGCAACACGAGCATTTAAAACAGCAAATGACACCATTGCGTGTCACTTGCATCGTCTTCCACAAAATAATTGGAAGATTTAAAAGAGGAATCATAAGACTTCCGCTAACAAAATGCTGTCTGTCCTCGACTTGTAAACTACAGTTACTACATGAAGTTTGTTTACGTTGTGGCTCCGCCCCCCTTTTTGGCTCAGCTGTCAATCAAACACCGACCCACCAGCTTAGAGGCTAAAGGAGCATTTCAGATTTCTGATGTCCAGTCACTTTTTATTCGTTTCTCTCAGTATTAAAACTATATGAATATACTTTTAATCCCAACGTCTGTGTTAAAACCTGTTAAAATTGTATTAATATCAACATATTAATATCAACAACCAAAAGTAACAGCATGAGAAAGATAAAACTTCAGCTGGGAGTTTCTGTCACCGATTAGCTGGATTGCTGATACAGTGCCTGGTTCAACACCCAGCCAACTTTGGTAAATACACTTTCACATCATAAATTGTTGGACGTTAGATTCTGTTTCAAAATCATTTACACTGAATTTTTGACCGTGTGCTGATTTTTCAGTTCATAGAGTAAAAACATTCTGTGTTTATTCACTTTGCACGGCAGAGAAATGGAATCAGGACAGATTAAACTTGAACTCTGTCCTGTAAGTTAACGTACGTTTCTTTTCAGTTGACATTTAACTACTTTGAGGGAAAAAACTGCTTCATTACTTTGATGTAATTACATGGAGACAGTCAGACTTCTCTCTCACAATAGATGGAACCAAATATTTGCGTGACCCCAGAATGATCACGGACGTGTTTTGACTTTTGTCAAGTGCAAAGAAATAACCTTTGGACTGTTTTTCTCTCTTAAATTGGAAGGTAATTACAGTCCTTGTCAGTGTGAAATTAAGTCTGTCCGCGGCTGTTAAAGCAGATCTGAATATTACGGGTCATTACTGTGTCAGAGCAATGTGCCCGAGCATTCTTGTTTGACTGGTGACTCAATAAAAACCATCTGATGTGTGCATTTTACCATCGGCATGCTGAATGCTGATGTAAATAAGGAGCACTTTTCAGGTGGGAAAAGGTGCGTTTGATTTCTCTGCAGCTCTGGCCTGGTGAAGGAAGAGCGTTTAATGAAAATTAGATTGAACCTGATTTTTTTTTTTTTTTCTCCTTTGAAGTTCAAAGTGGAGCCATGGACTCCCCATCGCCTCCCCATCGCAACCCCCCCCACCCCACCCCGACGCGCAGCATTCAGAAGTTTTCCAGTAAATTGGTGTCTTTGAATAAGTAAATGTGTTATCCTCTTTGAGGTGAGCCGTTCTGATGGCACGCATCCTTTGACCTTGTGTTGTTGTGTTGACGACATGACTGAAGCGAGACGTTTCAGCAGCTGTCGGCGAGCAAACGGCAAACATTTCAAATGTTTACGTAAATAATGTTTTTTATATATGTTCTTTTTAAGGATATGGTATCACAGCACCAAGTTTAAAGACGGAGCATTCAATCGCCCTCATTTTATCCTTTTTTTTTTTTTTTGCTTCACTTTAAAGAGTTACGTTCGCTAACACCTGACATTAGTGGCAGATTTGGGTTTAATTTGTCTCACTGTGAAACTCAAATATAAACTACTCAACAGTTATTTGTGTATGTCTTAAATGGTAGATTCCAATCAGCTACGACAGGTGAGTGAGTGTGTTATGCTGCAGTTCCTCTCGTGTCCACTAGATGTCGCCTCAAGAAAACTGGCTATTGAAATGAAGAGGAAAATCATCTCTCCACAAATACAAAGTCAGAAAGGTTTTTGAGAGTTTTTGGTTCTCAGTAGTTAATTTCACACCCAATGTGAGGTTTACCAACAATTTGAGTATTATTACACCTTTATACCTTAGAGGAACACATGATTTATTACAACCTGGGTTTTATTTTCATGGTTTCTGTTGGATATTATTGTTCTCACCAAATTAAATGCTTTGAGACGTTTGTTACCATGGTGATATCCTTAAAAAGGAGTCAAGTGGGTCAAGAAAAACAAGCCGTCACATGATCAGATGGGTTGGAAACTCTTGATGATCTAAACCACTTTATCCTAAGGTCAGTCTGGAAGTGACAGATCCCGAAATCTTGGTGACAATCCATCGTTGCACAGGAAAACTGAGAGACCGTATATATTTTAAGAAAGCAGGAAGTGCGTCAGTAAACTGATGAATGTTCACCTGTGATCTTTTTGCTTCTTACAGCAATGGTATACCGGCTCCATGAAGGCGCTGTGTGTTTGGTTGACTGACAGACTGGACCTGCAGCTCCACATGTACCAGCTGAAAACACTCATCAAGATTGTCAAGGTAAACAAACATAAAACCAATATCAGAGAGCAAAGAAATGTTAATGTCCAGATGCCATTTCCATGCATCACTTTACCTCCCAGATCCAAAGCCTCCTTTTCTTTGCTGTTTGAAAAGAGCGGCAGTGGGTAAAAAAAACTAAAAACATAAGTTGTGGATTATTTGTGTAAAAACAGAACTGATGTTGAAGGAAAAATAAAATACAAATCAAACCACGCTGAAGTGTCCTTGAAAGCAGCAGCATTGGTGTGAATAGGCAGCGAGAGGAGAAAGAGAAAACTGCTCAAATTGTGTGCCGCTACTGTTTTTGTCTTTTTAGTTTGCTAATGTACAGAGACGCGTTAGTTTAACTTGAAAGCAACATGACAAGGAATGATAATGGCTTCTGACTGAAGGTAAAAACCCCTCAGACGCTTCAGCCTGCTTTCCTGGTCTGACACATAAAAGACTCGGCTCGTCCTTCAGACTCAATCTTTCCGCTTTTGTCCTTCCGAACGGCAAACAGTAGCTGCCTCCTCCAGCTCGATGCATTCCTAAGATGCTCTCTGTTTTTCCCTCCCTTCTCCTTTTACCTATCCCTCCTCTCCCCCTTCACCTCCTCCCTCCCACCTCAACAGAAGACCTACCGTGACTTCAGGCTGCAAGGCGTCCTGGACGGCACACTGAACAACAAGAGCTATGAGACCATCTACAACCGGCTGACGGTGGAGGAAGCCACGGCAGCCGTCAAGGCAGGCGACGGCCTGCAGGGCATCAGCATGAGAGACAGCGACGAGGAGGACGACTAAACTCGCACACAAACACACCCTCCCTTCACACTCCCTGTTTCCTACTTGATTGTCATCCTTCCTAACAGATCAGGAGCTTCTGTCACAGTTAATGACAGAGCTGATCTACTTCACTTCACTCAACAGTTTTCATTAAAAACTCAGCAAACGTAGTTTAATATTAGTATTTTTGAAATATATTGCTTCTGGACAGAAGAGCCATGCTTTTTTTCAACAACAGGACAGGATATGCTAAAGTTAGCTAGCGTGTCATGTTGTTTTCCCCACTGAGCTCCACAGTCTTGGAAAACTAAAGACAACAAATATTTGAAAATAACATTAGGAACTAGGTAGAAGTAGAGAACTAGCTACTCAGCAAAACCACCTTGCAATATTAGCAGCAGGAGCAGGTTATGCTAATGTTAGCTAGCATGCCATGTTGTGGATGCATTTTTTCCATTTAACTCCACCCAGTCAATGAAAACTAAACTGAAGACTACAAAACAGAAACTGAAGTCAAAAAACATAGTAAAAAAATACATTAAAAAAAACATTGTGAAACACTAACACTAAAACACTGTTGCTAACAGCAGTGACTGCTTATGCTAATGTTAGGTAGCAAGCCAACAGCTCTTAGCTCACTGATTTTCTTCACTGTCATTGAAAAATATAAACTGAAACAAAAATGAAACTACTTTCCAGTAGTATGACTTGATAGTCTGTCTGGAGAAAAAAGACACAAATAGTTACACAGCTGGGCAAAATAACCAACAACAGGACAGGTTATGCTAACGTTGGCTAGTAAGCCTAGTAAGCCATGTTGTTGATGCATTTTCTCCACTTCAGACAACAATACTCAATGAATAGAATAATTTAGATTACAGTCAATAAATGTAATTTTTTGATAGGAGAAAGTTATGCTAATGCTAGCTAGTGAGTCTTGTTAATGCATTTTTTACTTAAGTCTATTTTACTTTTATTAAAGGTAAAAAATATCATTCTTGAGTATGAATGAGTTGACAAAATTGAATAAAGAAGTCCAGTTGTATAATGAATTGAACTGAAACGTGAGCTAACGTTATCATTACAGCCCTTTATATGAATTTAGTGTTATGTTAGCTTAACGGCTAACATTATCTTGCTAGCTAACAGATAAGAAAAGGTAGGAGAACAGCTGTTACCACAGAAATACAAAGGGATAATGAATAAATGTGAGGAGATATTATTGTTGTTTGTTACAATTAGAGTTTTACTTAAATATATGTCACGTCTGTTCAGCTTCCATGCCCCCTGGGATTTATGTTATCGTTGACCATGTAAAATGTTTTTAGGGTTTCTTCTCTTTAAACTGAAAATACAGTGGAGGAAAAAATATTGAAAACAAACCTAGCTTTCATTTTTTAGGAGTGAACACTGAGTGTAGTTACATGTGCAGTAGAGGTGACATGTCATTCATCACAGCTGAAGACCTGATCAGTTGAGAAGGGATGCTCAGGTAGTGACACACCCCCTTTTACCCAACCTGTCACATGCTCATCGCCCAGACACTACATGTTGAAACGTACACGAGTCAGAATGTACGACAAACAGGAAGTCACGGCGAGGCGAGGCGAGGCATCAACACGCTCTGGACTGTGCCAAGACGAACCTCGCCAAGCTCCGCCCTCCTCCATGAGCAGCCATACTCTGATTGATGTCACTTTGTACAGTAGAGCTCAGCGATCGCCATTAGTGCAGCTCCTTTCTGTTTCGTTTCATCCACCGTTGTAGCTTGTTGTTCAAAGCTTCAAAGGCTCCAGCAGCTCTGAAACCCCAGAGTCCAGGCGACCTCGCTGCCTTTTTTTAATCATACTCCTGACAGCTACAAAATCCACTAAAGAAATGTATTTTTATTTGATAGGAAGCTTGGAATTGTTAGGTTCAATCTAACTGGTTTTATTGAAGCTCAGTAATCCACTTTCATTCTCGTCACCAGTAAAACAACAGCACTGTTTCTTTTTTGTTTAAACCATTAAAACAAGGTTGTTTTTAACATTTTCCTGACAAGCAGGAAAATGCGTGGTTAGGTGAATAATTACTGTTGTCTCTGATCAGCAAAAGCAGAAGTAGCCTGACATCGTTACAGCACTTCAGTACTTGAAGTTGGGGTCAGCAAAGCATCTGACCGCTGTCATCATCCTTGAGTGTTTGAAACAAATGTTTGTTTCCTTTAACCATGATCACAACCTTTCTCTAATCTTGAAGAAGCAGCTTTCATTGGTTATTGTAGGTAGCAGATCAGAAAACACCTGTGGGTCAATTTAGAAAGCGATGTTTTGTTTTTTTTGATTGGGGAACTCTGTTCTGATCATGTTCCCTTACATTGAAATTAGACGAATCTATGTACCAAAGGTTTCTGTGCTAGCGTGTCTGTTATGTAACACTGCGGAAAGTTAAGTTAGACTTTATAAATGGCGGAAACCGGTTTCAGTCCCATCATACACCAAACAGCTGAGCATAGCTTTTGTAACCCTTCACCGGGATCTTGTAATTAAGTCGCCCAAACTTATCCAAACCTTTAAAGGATGATTGTAGTTTTACAGTTTGGATCTCTGTTGGGTTTGTCCATCATTTTGATCAGTAACATCTGTGAAAAGAGTCAGACGAGTAAAGGAACAAGAGCAAACAAATGATTGGACAAACTGGAAACATGGTCAGTGCAGTCAAATTGAAAGTGAGCACACCTGCAATTTTGATAATGATTCAAATCACACAGGAAAATTTGATTGTACACAGTTACAGGAAGGTCTGCGGCTCAAAGTTAAAGCAGAAAATGGGTCTATGAGTTGGATGTTGGATGTTTAATCTGGACAGTTTGAGTCATAATTTTACTGTTTACCTTTCACCTAACCTGGAGGTTTGTTTCCAACCTGTCTGACTGCTCGTGTTTCTTTACCAGTTGGATTTAACTGTTACAGTAACTGATAGAAACGACGCCCAAACCTACAAAAACAACACCCAGATTGTAATAAACCAGAATTATCCTTTATTAACAATTAACAATCTTTCCTTAGTTGCCAAGCGTTGATGTTGTTAAAATGGAGAAACGTTAGCATTTACCATTCAGAAACTTTGACATTGACAGAATGAAGGGTCTTGCAGAGTCATTCAGTATCATGTTTTTGTCTGGCAATAGGGTTTAGCTTTCAGGTAAAAAAAAAAAAAAACTAAAACAAAAAACAGACAGTGCTTAATAGCTGAATGTTTGATGTTCAGTGTCTTTGAACTCTTACAACTCCACGCTGACTAAATGTTGCCGCACTGCCGTCGTTTCTGAATCTGAACCTGAACCTTCTGTAGCTCCAGACGGTCCCCACCGCTGACCGAGGACCGGCGGCCTCAGGTGATAAAAGATGCAAAACGGGTCTGGGAAACAAATTTGCGCAGGTGTTCCGCAAAAACACAAAGAGTCGGTTTCACCACACCGGAGGTCTTTAAAAGGTGTCGGGACCGGAAGTGGAAAGTGGGGGAATACTTGTTGAGACGCGACGACTACATGCTGATGTAGTTGTAGATCTGCCGCCATCTTTGTTCACCCGTGATATTTACTGTTGTGAAGAGTCGTATTGAGCTGTAGCGTGGTATGGTCGTACCGCCTGATGTGCATCATACCCAACATCGATCAAAGTCTTACAAACGTGCCAACAAACTGACAAGGTCTGGACTGTTTGTTTTTTTTTTTGTTTGATTGTTTTAAAACAGGAACATCCCAGTAAAACATGCATCTATTTTTTTGTTTTTTTTAAAAATCTGATTACCGTCTTGAAATCCGATCAGCTGCCAGCGGGCGCGTTCAATCGCCACCGTCCGTTTGCGTGTCGTCGTCGTCCAGTAAAAAATAAAAAATAAAAATAAAAAAGTTTTATCTGTAGATTCAGTGTTGGCCTCCGATCGACTGTGTGCAGCAACCTGCCGTTTGTTTTAACTGTCCGATCCAGTTTGTGTCAGTGCAGTTCAACAGGCCAAAAACCGAAAGGACAAAAATCTGTTATTTGAAGAAGTATATTTATATTGTCTTATTGTGCACCTGTTTTGTTCAGGTGTCTTATCTCAGTGTCACTATTAAAAGTGTTTTTAAAGCAACTGTGATTTCACTCTGGGGGTTTTATTCTCTCAAACTGAGGATTGGTTCCTTGACGTCAGACATTGGATGCACCAGTCCTTAAGTTTTACAAAATAAAAGCTTTATTCTTTTGGTTTTTTTTTTTGTTTTTTTTGTTGTTGTTTTTTGTTTTCACATTAAAGGTACTTTGGATGGTATTGTAGCATCCTCCACAGCTACATGACGTCAGAAGGAAATTTGAGATTTGTAGGAAATTTTTTAAAAAATGTGTAGTTTATCTTTAAAATGTGCTATATGGCCAAAAGTATGTGGACACCTCACATGGTCCTCTTAGTTCCAATGGAGGGAACCTTTGGAAACCCTTTCCTGTTTAAACGTGGCACCATCCCTCTGCACGTAAAGAAATGGTTCTCCCAGTTTGGTGTTTTAGACCTTGACTGATCTGCACAGAGTCCTGACCTCAACCTCATCCAGCACCTCTGGGATGGACTGGAGTCGGACCTCAGTGCTGGACCTCACTAATGCTCCTGGGTCTGGACGGCGGCAGATCCCTGCAGCTGGTTCAACATCTGGCGGAAAGACTGAAACCAATGAGAAGTGGAGCAGCATCACCATGGGCGCTAATCTAAAATACACTGAGGTATGTGGACACACTGTCGAGGGACTTCTGTAGAAATTGAAGCTCAAGCAATCTCAGCAAATACATCAGGCTGAATGTTGTTTAAATGTGTATTTACATATATTAAAATTACAGTTTATTTGCAGGAATATTAAAAAGAAAAGACAGGAACCCAGTGAAATAAAAAGTGAAATACATTAAGTAAGAAAACACTTTGATTTGTTTCTTTTTTCCATTGACTTCCTGTTTTTAATAAAAGTACAAATAATTACAAACAGTAAAAACCCTTGACACATATTTATGACCATTATTTGTGTATGTAATATTGCATAGATGATGCCTGAATGAATTTATATCAGAACTCCTTGTATTGTTAATACAGGGC